CTGGCATACTTCCTGTGTTAGCAATATGCTTTGGAAGAAGATCGCAAAGACGTGGTACATGTCCTACACTCCTTGGTCCCCCAGTACCCAGAGCAGATGTCTCTAATGGATCAAGGCACACATAAGTGAGATAGAATATTGCTTTGGAATTCTTTGCTAAAGAGCACTTGAGACAGTGAGTTGAAATCTATTTACCGTCCCTGTTCTAGATGGAAATTTGGTTTATTCAGAAACTATGCACTTCTTAGGTTCTACAGATAGGTATTTGTAATGTTGTAAGCATATTGTTTCCTATGCAATGGAGAACAGGTTTTACAACATGAGAAGTGCTAGCTCACACTTTAGGATCTGATATAAAGGCACATCAACGCAAACAGATACATGGAGAATTATAAGCCAAGTTTAAGTAACTTTTAAAAACATGACTATACCTACTTGAAAAATAAACAGTACAATGTTGGAAGCAAGTATCAAATATTGAGATTTTTGTATTATTATATATACATATGTACAGATTACATGTACCTATGCTTTGTATACATTACATTCTGGAACAGCACTGTGGTAGGCACCCTCTAAGGCAGCTCCCATGACCCCACCTTCTGGCACTCACACTCTTGTGTGGTTGCCTCCTACACGGTACCAGGGTTGGTCTGGCCCACCGACAGCATGTGGTAGATGTGAGGGCATGTCACTCACTTCTGAGGCAGGTCATAAATGGCGCTGCAGCTTTGTCTTGCTCTCACCCTCCCTCTTGTCCCTTGCTTTGGGGGAAGCCAGCCGCCGTGTTGTGGGCAGCCCTGCGGGTCCACATTGGGGGGAGACACTGAAGCCTCCTGCCAATAGCCATGTTGAGCTTGGAACAAATCTTCCAGCCCTGCTAAGCCACCCTCAGTTCCCAGCTTTGGCTAATAGCTTCACTTATGGTTTCCATGAGAAACCCAGAGAGAGAGCAGAATGATCCTGCAAAACCATACCTGGATCCTGTACCCTCTGAAACTGGGTGAGAAACTAAATGTTTATTGTTTTAAGCTACAAAAATTGGGAGAAATTTATTTAGCAATAGAGATTTAATACAACCATGATCATCAGTAACACTGAATCTCAATCCTTCAACAGAAAAATAAACAAATATGATGAAAGCAATGTAGCAGTAATGCTAATTTGTAGTATTTAAATTCATTTTTACTATCAAACATAACTCTCAGAATAACTTTCTTGAATTATATAGCATATATATAAAGTATAAGAACTTTTAAAGTGGAATCTTACCAAAAGATTACTATAAATCTGTAATAGGGTACAATTTCAAAGGGAAGATAAGAAGTCAGGTGGAAAAATGGTCAAGTTAATCTGATAATTTATTTAGAGCACCATCAAGAAAACTGACATTTTGTCATTAAATTTAAGAATGCTGCAACCCTCTCTAAGGAGAAAATCAGTTTTCCTTGAATGCACTGAGATAGATATGTAGGCATATAGAGAGTGAGTGAGGAAGTGAGGAAGCCCTGTCTATATGCACATATGTATGCACATACTGGTATACACACATACATATGTACGGACATATACATTGTTACTTCTGTGAAATGGCTTTGGCCAGTAGAACACAGTGGTTTCTTATCCGTCCACTACATCTCTGAGTACTGCTAAGGATTTTAGTCAACACTTCCATTAAGTTTGTTTATACCATGTAAAATGCTTTCTTCTCTGCATTAGAACTTCAGTGATGACCATGAAGTATTAATAGGTATGCAGTGAGCATGTGGATGGACAAGAATATTCAATGGACTATATTCGTCAGGGCATTCTTGGGACAGCACTGACAGTTATTCCTTTGCCTGAGGCTTAGCTTCCATCAGATGTAACAATTCAATTTCTGGGAAGACAGTGACACATGTCAATTTCAGGGAAGATATTATATGTATACAGATCATCATCTCCTCCAGTGTTCTGGGAGGGTGGTTTCAACCACTGCTCTTAAGGAAAGGTGAGAGAGGCGATGATTTGAGTTCACTACTTCTTATTTCTTGCCTCCAAAGTACATTAACCTGGTAGATGAGCCACTTGTACCTAAAAAGCTAAGGCTATTCAGGCTCAGAATTTTGAGGATGGAAATCAGAGTTTTAGGAAAGTTTTCCTAAATAGGTTTAGGAAAGACATAAGATGCTTGCTTATGCAGACATTGCTTATCTGGCAACATTACCTATTTGAAGGCAGCTCAGAGCCAGGAAGTAGGCTCCAACAAAAAGTTAGAGTGAGGGAGGGCTAACCTTTACTGAAAGAGTCTACTTTGGGTTAGGTGCTATGTGAGGCTTTTTATTTACATAAGCTCATTCATTCTGGATAAGAACCCTCTGAAGTGTTAATATTCTTTTCATTCTGTAAATGTGGAAATAAAGTCCAGAGAAGTTAAGTAAACATGCCCAAGCTCATTCCGCTATTCTGCAGGACACTAGCATTTGAACACAAGTTTCTCCGAGCCCAAAGCCCAGGCTCTTCTTTCCCCTATACCAGATGGTTTTCTTGTCATCGAATCCACCTTATGTACCTCTTTTCCATACAGTTTCTCCAACTTTAATGGTGAGACAATGAAACCCACCACTGTCCTTTGGGGAACACATCTATCTTATCACCTCTTTTCTGCTTTTCTTATGAGTCAAGATGAAGGTCAGGGAAGAGAATTGGTGGGTTTCTCAAACACCCTCCAAGGGATATCTTCCTGCACTGGAGTGAATGGTAGTATCTCTTTCTATTCCTTCCTCAGGGACTGAGTTAGATCTCAGGGCATAAGAGGGCTTGTTCACTCTCCCTTTCTTCTCCTTGGATGCTATTTTCCCTTGTGGTAGGACCCTGGCACACGGCTACTGTTCTAGTCTGCAAGGGACGGTGGCTCAAGCCAGCTGGATACCAGGCAATGGGACACACTCACTACTTGGCTGGCCATCTCTGGCTCCCTCCTCTTCCTTGGTAGTTGGTGACTGTGCCCTTCATATTCTTTTCTTTTACAGCACTTGCCAGGCCCTGATGCTCAGCTTTGGGTCAGGATGTATTGACAGATGGCTAAGGCTAAGCTTTGGTAAAAAAATTCCCCACAGTGTCCAGACTCATTTATTGACAGTTTTCAAAGGCCTTTGAATTCAGAACCCCAGTTAATGAATGCTAGTTTGCCTTCCTTCAATCGCATTTCATTTGGAGAGTTTCTAGAAGATGGGCATGGGTGGAGGCAGGATGCAGCTCACCACTGTTATGACGCCATCCTCGTAACACATGCCTGTGAGGCTGTGGAGCACCAGCTAGAGCTCAGTAAGTGCTCATTTCCCTCCCCTCGTATCTTTTTCCTTATTCATTACAAAGTTAATATAAGAAAGAAAGCCAATGTAAATCTGAATGTGGTTTTTCATTTCCCTGCCAGACCTCTAGTATAGTGATTCAAATTTTTCAGGAACTAAACAGAGTTAGCCCAGCATATCAGAGTGCAGCTTCCCTTCCAGAAGAGCTATGATTCTGGAGGTGAATAGGATGTTGCTAAATGTAACCTCTGCATGGAATTTCTGAGTCTGCTTTCCAAAAGCCCATTTCTCCTCTGTTATAAAGTACATCTTGGTTTTATTAACTGTTTTTTGCTAGAGGCCACAATAAAAAAATATAACATGAAAACACTTTACCAAGTTTATCCCTAGTTTTTCCTTAATTCTTTTCAAATATGAAGCTTTTGAATTCTCAATATTTTTAATAGTCATATGATTTTTCACTACTTTTTCACCATTATGGTTTCTCCATATTGTAAATTAATGATGAGTATTTATTGGGTATCTATTGTCTTCCAAGTTCTATGCTAGGTGCTTTATGTTCAATGCCTCTATAAAGTAGGCAGTATTTCCCTACTGCAAGAGCAAGAGCAAGACAGGAAACTGTAAAGTCATAGAGGCTGGGAGTCCAACTCTGGATATTTCTTTGGAAAATACTTGTACATTTGAGAGGACAGCAATGATGTATCTTCCCTCTTCCTTCCCAAATACATACCAAGAATAATTTGCTAAGAAGGGCATACAACAGAGTCTTGTGGGAGCTTAAGAGCTTACTGTGATTCCCCTTTGTATTCTCATTACTCTCTCTGACCTGCTTTGTCTATTAGGCCTATCAGACTGCTTTGTCCAGGGTAAAGCTAACCAGTCCAGCAGCTAGAAAATGTATTCCTGTTGAAGTTTTGCACAGATAGGTCTTTATCAGTAACAGTCTAGTGCAGGAGAAAGAATCCTGGAGTGTATCAAAGAAGGAATCAAATCAAAAGAAGATCTGATTCTGTTCTGGCTTGGTAATTTACTAGCTGTGGATTTTTTGACAGTTGCTCTAGGCTCCAATTTTATTTATCTATCAAACAGGGAAAATAAGGTACACATGCCTCAAAGGGGGTTCTGAGAATCCACTGAGATAAGGTTTGTTCATATGCTGCCTCATTTATCTTTTGAGTTATTTATTGTCTTTCTCTCCTTCCTATTGCATGACTTTCATGGAATCAGAGAACTAGTCTGTATCTCCAAGGCATGCAGCCTTGCCTGGTACACTGCAAATGCTTAAAAAGTATTTGCAGAATGAATGAACTATGTATATTGTAAAGTATTTTAAAATGCTCTTATTAGTATTATTAAGAAGTTTTAAGACAAAGTAGATTTTTTTCTCTACTTTGTCATTAAGTTTTCATAATTATTAACACTAAGCCAGGAGTGAATTTAGGCATCTAATATTTAAGTACAAATGATGATCCTGTTTCAATTTTTTTGATATTTACTTGAAATAATTACAGGATTTTTTTTCTCTGAAAGATATCTGGTATTAGCATTCAAATCCTATGAAATGAAATGGTGAGACTTCATTTCTTGTTACTAATTTTTGTAACCTTCAAGAGGGTTTCTTGGTTTTGCTGATTATTCTGCAACTTCCAGGTTCTCTCCAGATGTGAAGAAAATTGCTTACTTGGTAGAGATGCTCGCACTTACTTGATGAAGTACTTGATTCCATCTGCTGTGTAAGCTTCCTCCCACCCGTAAGGTAGACCTAGAGTGAAAGGAAACCAAAAATACATTTAATAAGATGATAAAGATAACTTTATTTCCTGGATACAAACCTCCCACATCTTCACAATTATTTGAGTACATTTCTTGAACAAAATAAATTTTCTAGAAAGGAGGACTTAAGCCAATTCAGATGAGCTTTCATACTCAGCACCTTTAGAACACAATAAACAAGTCTGGGACAGTTAACAATCTGCTTTAGTTGCATTAACTGTATTCTGACTCGTCATTTACATGTGGTGAGCATTTTTGTCAGCAGGATTCAAGCAAAAATTTTTTTGTGCAGGCAGTGGTGGTTTTTGCCTAGAGGCAGAAGGATGGACAAGATGGCCCCTGCCTGTCTATTCTGGCTCGAATTTTCTTTAATTGGCTCCCTTTACATCCTACCACACAGCTCCACAGGGAATCGGTACATGAAAGACAGATCAGCAAGGGTTTGAAAGTAGCTTTTGGACAAGTTAAAATGCCTTATGAATTTGAAAGTTTATTAGCGAAACGATTTACAACAGATCGGTTTTTTTATTTTGTTAATTAAGAATTTTGTGCACTAAACATAAGTGGCTGAACAATTTGCTAAACTTAGCTTCCACATCTGTAATTAGATTGAGAATAGTCAGTTAGCTATGAGATGCAGACTGAAGTAAGCAAGCAATTATTCGTCCAAACAAAACAAGTTTGATTTCTGTAAATGAGTACTTTTTTGTCCTCATGATACCAAGACAACAGGCCCACATTGAGGCAGCCACATTCTCTTAGATTTTACTTACGGGTGGTACCTCTTTAGAACACAGTGGTTTCTATCTCTCCACACATCTCTGAGTACTGCTAAGGATTTCAATCCACCTTTTGGATCAGTACTTTGATCCTAATTTATCATGGATATAAGATGGATATAAGATACACTGATGGGTATCAGATGCATTACACACTAAAGAACAGACTCCATGGCTCAGGTAGCCTACTTCTTTGGAAAGTAACTGAACTATTACAACAAACCATTGACTTCCATACCCACAAGTTTCAACATGAGGCAGAGCAAAAATGCAGGAACAGTAACTATTTGAATGAAATAATACCTTACTCTATCACCATTAGCCTCTTTGAGAATATTCTCTGAGAACAGCTCTAAGGATGCTGTTTTTATGACTCAGAAAAACAAAACAAGCTTGATTTTATATTTATTTCCAGACTTTTAACACAAGTTGTATAAAATAAGACCTTGGCCAAAAATTCTGTAACTATTTCCTTTGTAAATTAACACTAGCCATGTAGGAGTTTCCTTTCTCTTAATGAATAAATGCACCTATTTTTAGTAGAAAATAAGCACTTCTGGGACCTCAGCATAAGCAAATGACTGCTTCTTAAAAGCCCCTGAAGTGACGTTATATCCATCTCCTCTGGTGTCCAGCACACGCCCAGTCAGACAGGCCATGATAAAATGCTGCTGCTGCACCAGTTCAAGCAGTTATTTTCTTTCTTTACACTTTCTGTGTCTATTACACATCACTTTATTCATCACTGACAAGTCCCTTACCTGCAGAGAAGAATCTGATGACTACATAAGAACCTTGCTTTCATGCCAAAAATGCTTAGAAATACCATTTCTGATCAATAAGGCAAAGACAGCTAAAAACTAAGTAGAAGTCATTCCAATGTGACAAAGGTTTTGGCCTACATGACTTGTTTGTCAATCCAACAGTTATATTCATGCTTCTAATTTTTTAAGTCACAGATTTCTTTTATGGGAAAAAGTATACTTTAAAGATGTATACTTTAAAAAAATATACATTTTAGTATCTTTTAATCTACAGGATCATTTGAAAATTGAGACTGACATTGGGATACCCATACTCTCTATGCCAACAGAAAAGGATTTCTGACCTGATTATTTTTCTTACAATTATTAAACAAGGACTGTAACTACATAACAGACTTAATAAAGGTACTAGTTCATACTCATTTAAGTAAAAATGGTTGTTCAGTGACTGTAGCCATAAAGATATTCTTGTATATTAAATAATATGTATAAGCTTATTTTAGGATAAATTCTCTGTTCTGAGAAAATAAGAATTTCTTTTTAGAAGACTGACAGTTTCTTATTTTTCATGCAGTTAATAGAATCTGTAAAAAAACAGACTTGGAGGCTAAATTGATAGTAACTATCTCTCAGTGATACTTCAGTAACAGAAAACACAATCAATGTCCAATCATAAACTGAAAAACAAAATATATATTTAAACCAAATAGCTTACTTTATACTAAAAGAGTACTTTTGATTTCCACAAGTTTATATGATTACAATGGACTGAGATTCCCATGAGTAAAGGATTTCATTTCTTCACAATGAGTAACTTGGGTATCATTACAACATTATCTAAATATTTTTCAATAACCATTACTGTTTCAAAGCATTGAAAATTTCTCTACATTCCCCATTTCTTGATATTTGCAAATATATAATGTTTCTATTTTTCCATTTCTCTTCATATTTATTTTAAAACTTTACAGCTTGAATTGCTTCTGATTGGGAGTGGTTTGTCTATGAACCTTCACAGAACATTTTCTTCCTTAGGGCTCATCTGGTTCTAATCAGCCACTTCACGGTGATGACTCCAGACCTTCAGAAGTATCTCGCCAAAGCAACAGTATTATACACAGTCAACTTATGATACTGGCTGTCACCTAAAATTCAACATAGCCCAAACTGAACTCATCACATTTCCATACAAAATAGTTCCCTTCCCATTTCCCAGTCTATTTAAATACGAAGATTCTCTTCGTCATTTTGGCCCCTTCTTTAAACGTCTCTGATCATTTATTATATGTTCAGCATTTTTCTTGGTGCTGGATATGCAATGATAAACAAATAAACATGAACCTTGATCTTATGGAGCCTTTATAAAATAATCATAAATAAAGACATCATTCAAAATAGGAATATATTCTATGAAGTAAAGTGTTGAATGCACTATGAAAGAGTAACTTGTAGTGCAAAGGCCAAACTCCCTAAAACATAAACAGCTATAAATTAGTAAGAAAATGGCCAATGACAGGAGTCTGTGGAACATTCAGATCACAGAAAATAAAATGCACTTAAGCATATGGAAGTATCCTTAACTTCATGCTTAATAAGAGAAATACAAATTAAACTATTATGAGATGTCATGCTCATGTTAGCAAAAATTAAAAAGTAGTTTACTGTGTTTAGGATGTAAAGAGGTGGTCATTCTCATACAGAGGGAAGTACAGACTGATAACATTTATGGAGAGAAACTTGTCAATATTTATCTAAAAATTTAAATGCTAATAATGACAGCTGACTTTTATTGAGTGGATATATGTTAGGCACTGTTCTAAGCACTATACATGCACCACCTATCTTATGCTTCATAATTCTACCTCTTAAGAGAGGTACTGTCATTATCCTCATATTACAAATGAGGGAGTGGAGGCACTTGCCCAAGGTCATATGGCTGGCAGGTGTTAGAGCCCAGACTCTTAGCCGCTACGCTGAACTGTCTCCATGTACAATTTCATCCAGCAATTCTTCCAGGAATTTTCCTGCAGGTATGCTTTATGTATTAGATGATTAATCGTAAAAGCAACATATTGGAAATAATCTAAATAACCACCACTTGGGATTGAGTGAAGATGATATATCCAGATAGTGGGATGTTGTTGAGCTATGAAAAAGAGTAAGGTCATTTATGTACCAGTTTGGATTAAGGGGCTGTAAGATACAAGAGGGATCCCTGGAAGAGCTGGAGTTGTCCAGGTCCACACGGGGGGGGGAAGAGCACTGTAGGCTGAGTGAACAGCATGTACAAAGGCTCTGAGACGGGAAAGAGCTGGGCACATTTGAGGACCTGAGAGATTACTGTTCCCAGAGCATGGTGAATGAAGGAGGGGGAGAGTGATTTAGGATTTGGCTGTAGAGACAGGCAAATATGACTATGCAGGGTTTTGCAGGCCATGTTTAAATTGTTTGAAAGTTTCTTAAAAAGGAAGCAGAAGATCTGCTTCTGTTTAAGATGAAGAAAACTTCAAGAGAATGTTGCTCCCACCATATGTGGGGAAAAGCTGCACAACCTAAAAAAAAATTTTTTTTTTTAGTTCTTCAGAGACTAAGTTCCTCACCTGAGCTGACCCTCTGGAGAACTGAATTCCAAAGGGTGACAAGCCCCTCGCCTCGAGGGAAGATGGGGCTCATGTCTTTCTCTCTTGGCAGTGTACAGGAAGAGGAGGTGTTGCCATCGAAGTGGGCAAGAAGAAAACAAGTAAAATTTCAACAAATCTGTAAAGCCTGATTATGGGCTGGCATGACAGTTTAGATCCTTGGGAGCCTTAGATACAAGGAGTCTGCTCTCTCCAAACAGCTCCTTCCTCACAAGAATGACCGCGGGTGGGCAGGAGACCTGAGACAGCCTCTGGCTAGTGCAAGCTCATGCAGGATCTGCAAAGTTTCAAGGGTAGCACAGGCGTACCATCCATGCTCTGGGCCCTGCCTGAGTACAAGCTGGTGATCGGAGAGACAGGCATAAAACCTGCAGACGCCCTGGGGCCCTCCTTTGATGTGAAGTAAGAGCCAGCTTCTGCTGGGGGAGAAGCAAGGACCTCTGGAGGAGCTGGAGAGGACTCTCAGTGCCATGAAGAAAAAGCCATTTGTTCCTGGGAAAGGGCGAGAAATTACTACACCACCAGTCCCTGCCCTGACTTCAGGAAAATAATGTTTGTCCTGGCGGGTTTGCAGTATGAAAATCTGATGTGGTTGCCCTGCTCTGACACTAAGTCACTGGATTCTCAAATCCAGAATCCTGCACTGATACAAAGCAGAGTTTGACTTCCACAAGCAGAGGCAGGAAGCTCACTTGAGCACTGAGTAGGAGGTAGGGTTGCCACCGAGGAGGGTCAGGAAAGCTGAGAAAGTCCCACCCTGAGATGCAGCCACAGGGCCTGACTAAACCAGAGACCAAAGTAGGAAAA